AATAACATATTGTTGATTAAACTTAGTTGGAAGCACTGTAGTCAGATAAAATGTAATGGTTTTTCCTAACAGCATGAGATAGAGCGTGAAGTGCAATCACTTTGAAAGGGAAACAACATTCAAGTATATATCTGCCATCTGTATCCAGGTATAATAGTTAAAGGGTTACTCTAAGAGAACCATGACCACTTCAGTGAAATTGAAGTGGTCATGGTGCTTTAAGTCATATATAATATGCAAAAAATTAAAAAACATTTGTGTGTTGCATTAGTATCAACATTGCTATGAAACCTCTTTTAACAAATACCAAGAAGTCATCAAAACAAGTCTGATAAGAGGAAAATTGCATGAGACACAAGGCCAAAACTGCTCATTATCTTGGGAAAGCTAGTAAGGGCAGACTTGGAAAATTGTTCAGAGTTGAGGGTGAGATGGATGCAGTGGAGATAGATGTAGTAAACAAACAAGGGAATTCTACAGAAAAACCTCTTTCACTCTTTGAGACTCCTGACATTAGAGTGGAAGTTTGTGTCCTTAATACAGAGTCAAGACTACACCGCAGTGACTTAAAGTCAAATCATGAATGTCTTTCAATGGACCAGACAAAGCATATACTTCAATCTGACTGACAATATGTGGTAAGACTTGAAAATTGCTATTTGCCAAGAGCTCCATCCATCGTTACAGAGCTTAAGTAATTGTATTAAGGACAATGGAGAATATGGAAGTATCAGGAGTAGGAAGAAATTCAAAGTTGAGTAGAGACTTACTCCCAAAGACCCAGAGGTTTCATTAAAGTGCCAAAGCACCATTAGGTTAATGAAGCAAATTTTGGTGTTCATAGCATGCACCTGCAGTCTCACTGCTTAATTCTCTGCCATTTACCAGTTAAATGACTCTCACAACCTACATGGTTTAGGTTTCAATCAGTTGTACAGTGCGGTGTGTTTACTTTACACGTTCTTATCCACTGCTGTTATTGAAGTTTATGCAAATGAGGCTGTTGCAGGCTGTAGCAGTCCATTAATAGAGCAGGAGACAAGAAATTCTAAAGTAAACATTTTGTGCATCAAAGGAAGTTAAACATTTTTACTCCTTTTCAGGAAGTGTTTAGGGAGGCTGTGTAAGTTTGAGCCAGGGGAACAACTGTCATTAAATTTTCACTTCTTGTTTTTTAAGTTTTTTTTAGAAAATTTTGCTTTTTTATCTGGCTCAGCAGCCATGTCGACTTATACTTCTCGTTTATTGTGTTAAATGAAAATGAATGACTTTTTTAATGATGCATTTTGACATATTGAATCAGACTCTACTATTATGTACTATTATCTGACCAATTGCTGTTCATCGTAGCTTGCCTGTTGCTGCAATTGCTCTGTGTGCTCTATGTGAAACTGCAGCAACGGGAAAGTTCGGCTGAACATCAGTTGTTCAGATAATAGTAGAATCAGACCCAAGATATCAATACACATCTTTAAAATGTTTTAAATTTTATGTCAAGATACGGAGGCTCATATTGCTTAACCCTTTCTTTACTGTCCACCAATAGCAGCAAAGAATACAAACCGTAAGAAAAAATGGTAACCATAGAGATAGGCCACTCCCATACCAAGTCCCAGTATAATAGTCAGGACCTCCCCACATATTTCCTCTTTCTTTGCTGCTCCACACAAAATAAGTACATGACAAATTTTCTCTTACAAATATATGCTTCTTATTATCATTATTAATGCTATTTATTATTTTATTGTTATTATTTGTTGTAGGCTCATTATTGCTTTATTTTTCTACATATTATTACTTATTTGTTCTTCTATTTATTCTTCTATGGTTATTGTGTATTATGCATTTGTTTGTTACCTTTGAACCCAGGGTTCCAAACCTTTTTTGGAGTATTATTATTTGTATCCCTCTCCCTTGAGCTTCCTTTTGTTGCTCTTATCTTTTCTCTGCTTGCCTTATCTCCTTCTTGCTGTCTGTGGCTCCATGGCTCCCTCTCCCTGTCTATTTGGTGCCCTTTTGCGCCTGTTCCTCCATTCCGTTCGGCTGTTTTTTCATGAATGAATCAAGCCGTTTGGCTAAATTCATAATTTTAACCATGCCGTTCATTAGTTTTACCGGCATACAGCATCATTCGTCTGTTTGCCACGTTCGACTTATTTTATACGAACTGCATGCTCGTTCATCTGTTTTTCTATTCATTCTATTCGTCTATTTGTTCACAAAAATATGTCTCTTTTTTGCCGAATGTTCGGCTCTTTCATTTGACGAATTCACAGGATTTTTTGCCGCGAATCTCGCAAGATTGCTGGCGGCCATTTTCTGACATCCTGTCCTTCTGGCTCTGTGCTCTTCCTTGTGTTCTCTTCCTGTCTGCCGGTCTGGACCCTGGTGAGCTCCCTATCTCTACCCTCTTAAAGGTATTTCTAGTTTGGGGTGATTGACCGCAAACCCGCAAACCCCTAGTCACCCCCTCCCCCAAAAAATTAACCCCTACCTACCCCCCTCACCCTAAAAATAATGAGGGGGGACCATTTAACTAAGTACCTGTAAAAAAAATAAAAAATAAACTTACCATTTGATGTCTTCTTTCTTCTAAAATCTTCTTTTTTCAGCCCCCAAAAAAGGCCAAATAAAAATCCATAATAACCGACGCAATAAAAAAAAAAAAAAGAAGAAAGAAACGAGCGCAAAACAATAATAATCCATCTTCACCCTGCGAGGGCTCCACGCAGACTGAGCTCTGCAGGGCAGGGGAAGGCTTATAAAGCCTTGCCCCACCCTGCAATTAGGCTTAGAGCGCTCTGATTGGTGGGTTTAAGCCATCCAATCAGAGTGCTCTGACAGGTAAATGAAGAGACTGACAGGTAAGTCTCTACATTTATCTGTCACAGCACTCTGATTGGTTGGTTTGAAATCCACCAATCAGAGTGCTCTGTGTCATTTTACACAGCGTGGGAAAGTTCTTTGGAATTTTCCCACGCTGTGTAAATTGACTCATAGCTCTCTGATTGGTTACTTAATCCACCAATTACCTTTTGTGTGCATCTGGACTGTTAATATTATGTTTTGTCTGGTGGGTTTTTGGCTGACGCTATGGGCACTGTGTTGCTTTAGTCTATCAATACATTATGTCTTGGCATGCGCACTTTGGTTTAAGTACCGATTTAACCGTTTGGCTCCTGTTTTTATGTTTTCAGAGGTTGATTCTGTGTTGATTCTATGCTGTTTGGGAGATCTTCACTACTTCCCACAAGGCTTCACCACGTTGGCTGGAGGTCTATGGATCGTGCTGTGATGTGCTCCTCACTGTTGGCATTTCTCTATTCGTTGATGCATTGGTGCCAGTTTGCTTATGGTTCCTGATCGGTGTCCGGCTGGATTTCAGGACGGTTTGTTCTGCTGTGGTTTGGACTAATTCATCGGTTTATGTTTGCTGTTTTTTGTGTCGCATCTCCAAAGAAAGAGGAAATATGTGGGGAGGTGCTGACTATTGGACTGGGACTTGGTATGGGAGTGGCCTATCACTATGGTTACCATGTTTTCTTACTGTTTGTATTCTTTGCTGCTATTGGTGGACATTAAAGAAAGGGTTAAGCAATACTGGCCTCCGTGTCTTTCATAAAATCATGACTTTTCATCATGAAATAGCAAAATCATGTAATTAATTTAGCTTTTTTAAAGCTAAATTTATTTTTGTGCATATAGTGATGTGTTTTTTAAACTGCCGAGTATTAAATATATGGAGTTCAAACTTAAAAATATAAACATAAGAATGAAAAAAGGAAAAAAGACAGATGGGGGGTTGAGGAGGGAGGATTTTCCCAGAAACATTATATCATGGCATCAATAGTCAAATAACAAGTTACTATATAATTACATATATAACTCACAACAGTACCTATTCAATAAACCTGTGCATTATAGTAATAAAATTCCAATCCTCTTACAGCTAACAAACCTTCATTCATAAGGGATTATATTGAATTTTTCTTAAATAGGACTCCCAAATTTCCAAGCTTTCCTCCAATAGTTTTGTGGTTTCCCCATTTTCCTAGCTGCAAACAGCATGTGACATACGCTCCTTCCCACGTACATTTGCCACAGACTCCTGGAGGAGTGTGGAAGCCAGCCTCCTGCCCACCGATTTTGGTGGAGGTTTGGGACACCAATTGGGAGTTACTCTGACCAGCTGCCATTTACAGCTTTCCCTGAGTGCCCCTGGTTCATGCAAATGAAACCTAGTGGAGGATTTGGCTGGGAAAGTCCTTGTAAGGGCTAGAGCTCCCAGGACTGTGTGTCATCCAGTCCCTGGGAGGGAATAGAGCTAGTCCCCTATCCTGCTCCAGGAGGAACCCAGTCAAGCCACGGCAACTGGAGCAGAATCGCTGGGGTTTTTCCTCAGTTCCAGCTAGGAAGCAATCCTTGGCAGAGGTACCCAGTACAGGGAGCTCTGCTAAAAAGCACTTTAAAAAAAAATTCTTTATTTTTGAGTGCATGGATAGACAAGACAGCTTACTCTGCCACAATAGCGTTCGTAAGCCTAGATATATCACATTGATGTTACATTTATGGCATTTGAACAGTGCAAAATTTTATATAAATGCATAAACAGAGTTTAGTTTACTATCAGTTACGGATTACAATTAAATTTACTCGCTTAATCTGCGCTTGTTATGAAGAGTATGCATGCTAAATAAGGTCAGTGCTTGCATAATAACTGTGTGAAACATAAAGTGATTTTAAAAATACAAATAATTCCACCTAGCTACGCTGGCATCTTAGCTTAATATGCAGACCTCAATTTTGGCTGTAAGTGAAGAGATTTATGAAATGAAAACCATGGTATTAAGTGTAGGCTAACAACAAAATGGGAGGTGAGTGCATGGTCTGGATGTCTGTTTAGTCCCGTTAAAGAGAGTCCTCTCAGCCTATTCCCATGGTGCTCAGACCTAATGCGGGTAGGGGCCTCATGGAGTTCTCGTCCCCCATGTTGCCTCCACAGCCCTTGTAGTTGAAGGACTCCCGTTTCCCGTGTCCATGTGTTTCTCTCACCATCCCCAGGAAGGGGTGTCGTGGCCTCATGTTGCTGCTCTGTTTCGCTGTGTTTGGACTGCTGGTGCGTGCTAGAGCCTTCCTGGCTCTTGGTGCAGGACAGGGGCGCCGAGGCTTCGGAGCGCCGTCCGTAGGTAGCTCCACGGCAGCAGATCTCGTTGTTGGCTTTCTCAGCATCTCCAGTACTGCTTGCACATTTAATTAAATCTTAGCTTGAAACCTTCTTCTCAGTTGCTGTGTTGCAGGGTAGATTGTGCAGGTTTGCCGTCGGCCATTTTAAAGTAGGCTGCGTGTGTGTGCTGGATGAGTTGCAGAGGTAAGTAGTCTTCTGGTGGGGGCCGGGATACCCCCGCTGGCCCCAGAGGGGGGGGTAGTAAGGGGCACAGATTGACCACTGGGCTGAGTGCCCTGGTCGCTCCCGATGTAGAGACCGGCCGCATCTCCCGCCAGGTCGGCGCCAGGCCACAAAGGGATGGAGGCCGCAGCTGCTGTTGGTGGAGGGGTTGTCGCACGCCCCAAGATCTTTTCCACGATGCAGGTGTAGATTGCATAGGTAGGTAGAGTCCATTTTTGGGTTTTCACCCGCTTTTTTGGCACTTTTATTCCGATTTTAAGCAGGAGCTCTGCCTGCCCGCGACCTTCCAGGATGGCATCCAAGTCCCGTCCCCTGAAACAAAAAAGTACTTTTAATAGAACTACTTGTTGAAATTGTTTTTTTTTTTTTTTGGTTTTTGTTCACTGCTCAAGGCTAATCTCCTCTCCTAGATTTTATAAAAATTTTCCACTACGTGTCTAACTAGTTTATTAACTAATCCATCTGCACTTCAGTAAACAATTAGATTGCACCGATCTATTGATCAATACAATCTATTACTAAACACTGGGTGGATGTCTCTGATTTACCCAAAATAAGAATTTTTGGTTATTCTGAAACTATAGCTAACAGATAGTACACATTTTAGTAAGTTCATTGCCGTTTTATTGTTAAAAGAACATAAATATGACATATCAATTGTGTACTGTTGTCTTTGTAAATAAACTCTATCTGGGAAGAGTCAGTGTGAGCTGTATTGAAATGAATGGCTCTTTGCTATTCGGTGTAGACTGGATACATTTAATACATTCTGTGTCTAATGGAACACAAGCTCATTATTCTACACTACATAGAGCCTTGATTATACATGAAATAGAATTTAGTACTGTCAAAAATGTTTTTATTTTATTTATTTTTTTAAAAACACATTTTATTTTTCTTCCATTATTTCTTTTAAAAGAAACCAAATATCAGTAACAGTGTGCGCGAGGAGAGTCAGGGCCGCAGATAATAACAAGTTGCTTGTATTGGCAAATGCATGGCAACCTTTATTATTTGGGTTTTTAGAAGCATGAAGTTGTGTGACTTCCACGAGGACAACAAAGAAAGCACTACACAGAAAGTAATCACTGTTTCAACCGGGTATAATCGCTATTCTTGTTTTAAAACTGATAAAGTGTTGAAGGTTCTAGATTTTTAAAACATTCACCTGATCTGCTCGAAGAATGTTTACAGGATGGTTGGTTTATTCATTAAATAATGTAACCAATATTATAACCAAGTGTTCCTTATTTATGTAGCACTCAGAGGTAGCACTCAGTTATACCCCTTTATAAGAAATAACCCCTAAGTATTTTTATGATTTTTAAATTCTTGATTCTGAGCTAACAATGTCATAGAAATTTCAAATCCGCATATCACATATTCTTCCCCAGGTATGTGTCCAAAATAGTCCTTGCTTAGTATTCTTTTGACACATAAAGCACTTCAACACAGGGTCTGTCATATTTGTGACACTTTATAAAAATGCCTATTTCAAAAGAAATGTAGAAATCGTCACTTATATAATTGGGGACAGAAACACTTTTCTGGTTCTGTGTGTGTGTGCGTGTGCGTGTGTGTGTTTTCTTTGGATGTATATCTACCTAATCCTTTTTTTAAAATTGAATTAATTAATTTTGCTGCTGATATAATGCCCACTATCTTGGCATTTCTTCCCCCTCTTCTGTTACTTAAAGCCTGTACCCTCCTCATTTTTCCAAAAATGTAATTCTCAGAATTCCTTATTTCCTTCCTCTTGTTTATGAATTCTGTCTAAACCAGTGGTTTGAATTTGAATCCGGTTTCACTAATCCTCAGCATCTATTGTGCACCTAGTCCCCAACCTTAGCTGCTCCCTGATTTAGCCCATCTTCTCAATGGAACTGCCATCAAGTTTATAAAAGATGCATCCCGAAAGTAGAGAGAAAACCTGATATCACATAACTGACCCATATCCATATCCTTACTGCCTGTACTATTCAAATTCTTGGCAACAAGTTGTCATGGGTAACTGTGCAAGTGTTAAACACAAACAGCTCAATTTTCATGACATTTTAGCTGTCAGTTAAATAAAATTACCACAACTGACAATATTCACTGGCAAAGAAAAAGGTGAAGTTGCTGGAGCTGGTTTACAAGTTGTGCAAAGCAAAACAGTTTTTCTTGTTTGCAGTGATGGTTTTCCTAAATGTCTGCAAGCCTTATTTGCATGGTACACTGCTTTCAATTCAAAAGTTAATCAGTGTGAAAGTGTATAGATTTTGTCCTTCAAAATAGCATTGTCTTACAGTGCACTTCCCTTACCACCAAAGGGAGTATAGCAGTTTAACACTATTAATGAAGTGTCCCTATTTAGGAGGGACAGTCCCTATTTTGGGCCCAAATACCTTTGTCCCAATGGCCAGACTGGGACAAAAATTTGGCCTGGGCATTTAAAGTCAAAGCAGCCAGATATGGGTGGAGGCCGGGCAAGGGAGGTGTGTATTGTGTCATCAGCAATGACATGCACACTTTCCAAAGTGGACATATCAGTATGATACCCCTCCAGAACAGTTCATGAGGAGAGCTCCATTTGCTTGCTACATGTATGTTCCCATAAGTGGAATATCAAAGGAAAAAGAGAAACATGGCTTGGAGAGGGAGGTATGTATGTTGTGTGTGTGTGTGTGTAGGGAGGCTGCTTCTGAATTAGTATACATTTTGAAGGCTGCTTGTGAGGTTGCATGTGTGTGTGGGAGAGGGAGGGGGGAGGCTGCTTGTGGTGTTGTATGTGGTAGTCTAACTGTGGCGCTGTGTATGCCTGTGTAGCGGAGTAGCAGGGGTTAATCCAAGGGCTCTCCACTGGAACAAAGATTCAGCATACAAAATCACAGGAACACAGCATAATCCACCTCCCCAAGGACTAGACGACACATAGTCTGGGAGTCAACTGTCAGCTTTAATCACAGATCTGTTTTTATGCATTTCTCCCATGCAAGGGAGGTAACTTTCATAATTATTACAGTAGCCAATTGTAACCCGGTCACCTCCCCTCACTCTCCTCCCCTTAGATTAGCCCTTAAACAAATTCTGGATGTCCCCTAAATACAGGGGGTACAGGGACAAATAAGGGGTCCCTTGGTAGGTCTGATCTGGGTGAGCAACATACTCGAAATTCACCCAGATCGGACCAGGGGTTCGGGAGTTACAGACAGTTACAGTTTTGACCGACTGCAGGGACTCAGTAGCCGAAAACATGAATTCTGGCCCTGCGGTCGGTCTATTTCTGTGAATTAAAAATACCGAATGACATAGCCATCCATGCGATTGCCAGCCTTTGCACGAATCCTCTCGTTTAGGGGAATCTATCTACCGAACGCCGGGGCGTTCATGTGTTTGATTCGTGCTGTCGGAGCATGCTGGAGGTCTCAGCGGTACTTGGTTAGTCGAATGCCCGGTTTGAGTTCCAGGCGTTCGACAACCAAGTACAGCTGTTCGTGCGTAAGATGGCCGCCGACACGTGTTCGGTATGCGAAATGGCGGCCACACATACAGGCACTTAATTCCCTCGCAACATTGTATCGGTCTGTTAATTAGCAACACACGGCCACCCCGGGGTGGTCTCACGTTCGGTAGTTTCGGCCATTCGTCTAAAACAACAATATAACAAGAAAGTCCATTCGGTGAGTTATTCCCTTGGTGAAAAGTTTTTCATTCACACAGAATAGTCAGTTCTAGTGGCAGGGTTTGCCACAGCCTGTATGCAGGGAGGATGTTTGTGAGTTTTTGTATGTGGAGATTCTGCTTGTAGAGCTGGTGTCTTGGTTTTTATGTGGGGGGAGGCTGCGTGATGAGTTGCATATTTTTTAAGGGGACTGTTTGCAGTATAGTGTGTGTGGAGAGGCTTGCTAGTGGAGTAGTGTGTGGAGAGGGGTTGTAGTGTGTATTATTTGTTGGTGTTAGGAGTTGTAGTGTATGTGAGGGAAATGTGAGGGAAATGAATCATGGTTCCAGTGTGTGGGGGTAGGTGCTGCAGTGTGTGGGGGGATAGGTGCTGCAGTGTGTGGGGGGATAGGGGCTGTAGTGTATGGGAGAGATATTAAATGTAGAACATGATGGGATAGGGGCTGACATATATGGGAGATAGAGTCTGCAGTGTATGGAGGAGATATCAGCTGTAGTGTATTGAAGGATAGGGGCTGTGTTGGTGGGATAGGGCTTTGATGGAGGAACAAGGGTTGGGTTGGTCATGCAGTACTAGTGAATATTGGCTTAGTATTTGGGGGAAATAGCAGCTGTAGTGTATAGGCGAGACAAAGACAGTAGTATATGGGCTGCATTGTTTGAGGGATAGGAGCAGTGATGGTGGAATAAGGGCTGTGATGGGAGAGATAGGGGCTGTAGTGTTTGGGGGATATATGGGCTGTAGTATATGCAGGGGGAATGTGTATATGTAGATGGGGGCTGTGTTAGGGTAGGGGCAGTAGTAGGGGAATAGAAATTTAGAGGGGCTGTGCTGGGGGATAAAGGCTGTGATGGGGGATAGGGTATGTGCAGTGGCACACACACAGACATATACATAAAGACACACATACATACACACAGAGACATATACATACATATACACAGACAGACAGACAGACACATACATACATACAGACAGGCACACAGACACATACATACAGACAGACACACACAAATACATACATACATACATACATATAGTCATACATACAGACAGACACATACATACATACATACATAGAGACACATACATCCA